AAAAAAAAATACACAGTGAAATGTTTCTCAGTTAATGTGTCATCTCCTTTCTTGGGGTTGGGCTTATTGCACCCTGTAGGAGCATTGGTAACGGACTACCATCAGTGCAAAATGACTAGGCTAGTGGGGTTATATGTTAGTCACTTGAATTGCTGAGATATCTTCAAGGAACTAAAGCAGTCCCTAAAGTGTGTTGTTAACAATATTTTTATTGTTAAATGCAGCTATGAAAATGTTAGATTCATGATAGTGCTTTAATTTATTCTACAGAATGTCATTGGAATTGCAAATTTTATATGTTTAAATCCTGGCTGGGGACTATGCTGTTTTGGATTATGGCAGACAGGGGATTTTTGCAGGGCTTGGCAGTTATGCTAAGGGTAAAGCAAACGTCTTTTGTCCTTAGCAAGCAATGATACTATAGTCTAATATTGTGTTTTACAGGAAGAAAGTTTCAGCTAACAGAGACATAATGTTTTTCTAAGTTTGGGGAAATTTTTATTGGCTAAGAAATAATTACTGTACTGTATAATACATTTTGATGCTTTTATACTTACTATTTTTTCCCCTTCATTTTTTAGTTCTTCACTAAAGGCCATGGATGAAAATGAAACCAACCAGTCCCTGGTGACTAGCAACCAATATCCTAAAGAAGCAGTGAGAAAACGCCAAAATTCAGCCCGGAATTCTGTAGGAAGTGATTCTTCTAGGTTTTCCAGGAAAAGCTTCAAACTGGATTATAGACTAGAGGAAGATGTAACCAAATCAAAGAGAGGAAAAGATGGGAGATTTGTTAATCCTTGGCCAACATGGAAAAATCCCTCCATTCCAAATGTTCTTAAATGGCTGGTAATGGAGAAAGATCACAGCAGCATTCCACGTTCTAAAGAGGTAGGTAGTGCTTGGCTTTTTGGTGTACTTTGTATTTTTTTTTTTTTTTCTGAGACAGAGTCTTACTATGTCACCCTCAGTAGAGTGCTATGGCATCACAGCTCACAACAACCTCAAACTCATGGGCTTAAGCCATTCTCTTGCCTCAGCCTCTCAAGTAGCTGGGATTACAGGTGCCTGCCACAACACCCGGCCTTTGTATTTATTCTTAGTACGTATTTGCTTGGCTTAGATGTGAATTGTATTCTGATACTCAAGTTGGCTAATTGAGCTCTTCTCTGTGTGTGTTCTTTCTTTTCTTTTTTTTTTTGAGACAGAGTTTCACTTTGTCATCCTTGGTAGATGTAGCCGTAGTGTCATAGCTCATAGCAACCTCAAACTCCTGGCCTTAAGCATTCCTCCTGCCTCAAGTCTTCTGTGTAGCTGGGAATATAGGTGCATGCTACCACACCTGGCTAATTTAAAAAAATATTTTCTGGAGGCCAGGTGTAGTGGCTCACACCTGTAATCCTAACACACTGAGAGGCTGAGGCAGGAGGACTGCCTGAGGTCAGGAGTTTGAGACCAGCCTGAGTAAGAGCAAGACCATGTCTCTACAAAAAATAGCAAAGTTGGGCCACATACCTGTTGTTCTAGCTGCATGGGAGAGTGAAGTGCGAGGATTTTTTGAGCCCAGGAGCTTGAGGTTGCAGTGGTAATGCCATTGCATTCTAGCTGGGATGACAGAGCAAGACCTCATGCCTTAAAACAAAAACAAAAAATTTTTTTTTTTGTACAAATGGGTCTTCCTATGTAGCCCAGGCTGGTCGAGAATTCTTGGCCTCAAATGATCCCACCGCCTCAGTCTCCCAAAGTGCTAAAATTACAAGTGTGAACCACTGTGCCTCCCCAGTTGAGCCCTTTTTTATAAGACATTGGATTAGGTTCTGGGGAGATAAAGTGAATAGATATAACTCTTGCCCTAAAGTTAATTGTTCAGCAGCAAAGTATATTCAGAGGGTGGCAAAAAATGTT